TTCCCTACCATTTGGACTGCATGGTGGGGCAATAATTCATCTGACTCATGATCCATTTAACTGTGCTCAGAAGGATAAATATCTACAAAAAAGGTTTTTAGATGATGGCTTTGTAAATGTTTTGCCTGTAAATAAACAACTCACACAAAGCAGACGTTTGGAGTTTGAGCGTATGAGTTCACCTAAGTGATTTGTGTCAAGATTTCAAGCAATAAATAAATCAGCCTCAGCCATTCTTAAACAGTATGCTTAAAGGTGAATTCACCCCACCCCTCATAGCCCTTGGTTTGTCCTCTAAGTTACCTAGTCTCTGTTGTCTTCAATTATACAAATAGTATAACCACTGAGTAACTTACCTGGGAAAACTGAGCAAAACTCGGATCAGCAAAAAGAGGCACATGTCCTAGCAGCTCATGACAAATATCACTGCAGGAAAACATGACATCTGAATAAATTTAATTTAGGAAAAGTCCAGCAATGCTGGATGAATGCCCTAGAGTCAACACATAGTCAAGAGTGCAGTGCATTAGCTCCTACCAGCAAATAATGTTCAAGACTCTCAGGAAAACATTTTGCTCTAAAATTATTCTTGGTGATGGAAATATTTGCACATTCCAGGGTTTTCAGTGCTTTTATTATCATACATCCCTCAGAGGAAGGAAGATATATTATTTGTTTTTCCTTATGGAAGAAAACCATCCATTCAACTGCCCACCCAGCTCAGGGAAGCCCAGAAAGAAAGCACCCCCCAAAGAGAACATGGACATTTCAATCTCAAGGACAAGAAACATCTTTAGATGAAGCTTATGCTACTAAGACAATTCACCGTGGTGTCAACATGTACCTCAAGAGCTCAACTCTAGTCCCTGTTCAGGCCCAACACCTCCCACTGAAATGTGGAAGCCTGTTCTTCCTCAGATAGGACTATTTTCGTCAGAAGTTGAAGTTGGCAGCTGGACAGGCATGTTTGGGGAAGAAATCACCCAGGGACTGCTAGATTTTTCAAAGACGGAGAAGTGATTTGGTGAGATGGAAATGGGATAGGGTTAAGATGCTCCCAGGAGGGCCAGGTCTGTGGAAGACATTTCAGCCTGGCTTTCTGCAGGATGAGAATAGGGTGAGCAGAAGCACAGAGGAAAATCAGAACAATGAGGGATAGAAAATGGAGGGGAAAAGGAGGTTGTGGGAAGAAGTAGGAAGCAAAGAAATGGTAAGGAAGGGGAGGAAAAATTGCAACAATTTGAAGCAGAGGAAGAAAACTGTTTTGAAAACAGCAAGTGGAAAAGGACAATGGACAGGGACAGAGAGAAACATCACAGCATAAAACTGAAAAAGAGAAGGGATCAGCAATCCGAGCTTCCTGTATCTTGCTGCCAGAAGCTTCTGTGCAACATGTTGAGTCATTCCTGCAGTAGATTTCACACCAGTGTTTGGGTGCTAATAGCTAAGCTAAATGCCTTTGTACACTGCTCTCTCATGTCCCAGCCACCACTCAAGCATGCCTTCAGTAGCAAAACTGTCTCATCCATCCCATAAGAACTTGCAGAAGAGGATGAAGCTTGTTAAAAAGACTAGAAATCTTCTCAAAATGTTTTCAGAAGAGAGCAGTCACTTGGCTGCTCTCCATTAGCTCTGTTCCCAGGAGTGCTGCAGAGTCCCATATGGTTATTATCAGTTGGGCTGACCCTGCTGTTAGTCCGCTGCAACTTTACACAGTTTCTGTGCCAAAGTACTTACGGCTCTGGTGTGTACATGGGTTTGGACGCATGGCGAATATACTGTGTAGAGTGGAATACTCGGAACGCCAGTCCAGCCAAGAAATCCCGAGAGGAGAGCAAGCCTGCAACAGGACGCAGGCGAAACCCAGTGCAGGCTGAAGAGACAAAAAAAACGATATCTTAAAAACAGTGGGTGTGTTTGATTTATCTTTATCTGGACTCCTCACAGTGGAAAAAGTTTGTTAAATGTTTTCTTTGCTTGCCTTATGTTAAACAGAGTTTAATTGTGAAAGAGCAGGGAATTTTCTACCCATGTATACCACCATCACAGTATCTGAGCATCTATACCATTGTATCCTTGGAAGTTTCAGAGGGACCTGGGACACAGGTTAACTAATGCACCCAAGCACCATAGGGGTCCTGTGATAAAGCAGGGACTGCTTTTCCATCTCTGGAAGCACCACCCCCATTGACAGCTGAGGCCTTTCATTTGATTTGGTTCTTTTATATGCTTCAAACTTACTCTGCAAGAATTTTGAAATATCTTCAAGCTGGGGAATGTTGTCTTCCCGGTAGCCACAGTATTTCTCCAGTAGTGGGAACACATGGTTGTGTTCATAACAAGCATGAGTTGGATAGAGACTCTTCAGCTCCCTGAAGACGGTGCCCCATGTTTTCTTTTCTTCTTCTGTGTAGGTGACTCGAGGAATAGGTTGGCCACTGGAAAGAAAATGGATACTCTCCATCGGAGCAACAGAGAAAATGTCCCATGCCACCAGCATCATACTCAGGAGCTTTACTTGGGCTGGCCAGGAGCTGCTAGTGCAGGAGTGGAGATGCCTTTGGTCTGACACGCAGGTGCAAAAGGAGCCTCACTTATCCCTAGGCACAGGTTAGGAAGGATTCTACTGGCTTTAGACAATTCCTTCTATTATTGTGGTAAAAATAAATTAGTGCTTACTAGTCTTACCAAGATGTTCTTCTAAAAATATTTGTTGGCTGTTGGTTTCAATTTAGTTGCATTTCTAGATATGGAGCAGCAGTTGTACTTCTTGTTCTAATACACATTAGATTTATTTTTTTGTTACAACAGGGAAACCATCAGCTCCAGAAAACTCTGTTTCTTGGAGGTGTAGAGAAATTCTGATCTGTGCTTTATGCTGTAACAGATGCAGTCTCCAGCCAGTTTGACTTTTTATAATTGAAATAAGCAGTTTTGAGTCAAATCCTACCCTCAGGCCTCCATGTGCTTAGTTCATGTTGAAGCTAGCAGGAACTAAACAATCACAAGCAATGTAGTTTGGCCTCCTGTGAATAGTCAATTCCTTAGCAATAATGATAGGGCCATAGGTGAATCCAGCAGCTTTGAAAAATCAAAGGCTTTTAAGTAACTTAATAGGGTTATCATCACTGCTGGAATAATGCTAGAGCTTTCCAAGCCCCAGAGACCTATTGTTAAATTCTTGATGACACCCCACCATCTTCCACTCCATTTTTTTCCTTGAGCCTCAGGGCAGCTCCTCTGGAGCACCATCATTTTCTGTCTGTCTGTATCAACCCTCCTTGATCTGTGGAGCTTTAAACATCACGTTGAATTATGAGGATTGCTGGGGGATTGTTGTTCCTATAGCATTCCTAAGTAATCCTCAACCACCTTCCAGGGCTATAAGGGGAATCTATAGCTTTAAAACCTTGCAGATTTCAATTAAAAAAGTTCAGGGGCCAACAGGGCCAGAAGCAAAGGATGGCAGATGGAAGAGGCAGGCTAAAAGCAAAGAAAAGAGAAATCAGAAAATTAAGCATTCAACAGAAACAATGCATAAATGTACCTGGAAAAAAGGCAAAAGAGCAGCAGGAAAGAGGACAAAATAGGTGCAAAAGAGACATAGAAGAGGATGAAACTGATGGTGGGAAAAAGAGTACAAGACAAGCAACCACAGACCCACCTTACCTTTGTAGGTGGGTAGCACCTTCACAAGTTATGCACATTGCCTTTTCAGATACTTCCCATGAAGCATGATAACTTTGGTTGTCTCTCTCCTCCTGACCCGTTCTCTTCATCTCTACCCCAACCCCTCCCCGCCCCTCCATGCTGGAGACCCCCCTTGACCTCTCCTCCCCACTATAGACCCTGAAAGGCAAGTCCATCAGGTGTAGCACCCAGGGCAAAGACAGCACAGATCCATGTGGGCCTTCCTGAATCAACACTCAGAGTTACAAAAAACACATACCTTCTTTCTACAAGCCCCAGAAGCCCAGACATGGGCTGTCACATCCTGCTTACTGCTCTATTACTGAAAGACTTTATTGGAAAGTCCAAGGACTTCACGTAAAAGGTGCTTTTGGGACACAGGTCCAGGTCTGTATAGGCTCTGTTTCCAATGTGTCTGAGGATCTGGATAACAGACTAAATACTAATTACTTACATCTTGGAATATAACGGTTTCACCTTCCTAAGATGGTTTCAGTTTGAATCTTGGAACGAGGGGGTAGTTAACATGGTTTTTCTTTTATTTCTATGTCGGTTTTGGTGAAAGCCTGCAAACTAGAGACCAGAATTTTCTATCCGTTATTCAGGAAAGGTAAACCTTCTATGGAATGCCTATAAATGGGTATTAGACCCATCCACATCTGCCTGCAAAGCCTTATCCAAATTTTCTAGCTATAAAATGGGCTCCTGACTTTTTTCACCTTACTTTTTACACTTTCAATCAATCAGTCCAATTCTGTCTCTCATTTTGTGATTAGTTTATTAGCTCTTTGGCTCAGGGACTATCTTTTCATCACAGTCCTGTGCAAAGTGGAGCCCTAAATGTACAACATATGTTACTTTCTACTTTGCAATCACAATTTTTACCAGTCTCAGCAAGAATCAGGCCGAGCAGTACTGATATAAACGTGTGAGTAGCTCTGGGAACAGAATTTTATCTCCTCTAGATCTGATCACTGAAAGCAAGCAAGCAAGCCTGTTCTAACTGAATTTATCATTTCTATTCATTTATTTTTCTTGGGAAATTAGAGCTCAAATTGCTGATTGCAGTAAAATAATAATGATAAAAAGTAGAGTATCAGGTGCTGGATTAGCATCAGAACCATAAGTTATTCATTATTTTAATAGTGTATGCAGCTCCTGCTTTAATGTAAATGATAGGCACTCCTCCCCCAGTCCTGGTTTAATGGGGAGAATACCAGAAGTGGCTTTATTCAATGCTCAGGTCTTTGTAGTAGCAACACAGTCTGCTGCTCAATTAGACAACAAAGCCAGGGAAGAGGGGTGTTGTGGGGAAAGAAGCGAGGCGACATTCTCTTCTGAACGTGTGCCTGGAACAATTTACTTTTGTTTTACTGTGATTTGGGGATAAATGCATGAACAGGAAGATTTAAACACACGGCAGAGAAAAGCCAACAGCAGCAGGATGCTTGTGGAAAAACAGGGATTGCAAATAGGGTGAGAGCTCTAGGAGAAGGCAGGACATGTGGGCTTCCTTTCTGCCCACGCGCAGAGTACTCACTGTCTGTAGTTGTAGGCAATATCTGCAAACTCCTTCCTCCGGGCCCGGTACACAGGATCTTTGAACCCCTAAAGAGAAGCAGTGATGGTCAGTCCCTGTGTAAATGCAGATGGTGAACAGCCTTCCTCTCCTGAGCACCCTTGGGCATGGCTGGTGCAGTCGAAGAAATACAGGAGGGTGAGTGGGGAAGCTGCCTCCATCCTGCCCTGCTCCACTCACTCAGGGCACTGTGCCTTTCCGGTCCGCGGGGCCACCAGAGCAGCCATTAAGCCACAGCCTCACAGCACGTCTCACCCCTCAAGTCCTTCCATTTTCTCATTTCCACTTGCTACAAAAAAGGGAAACATGCTTCTTTATAGTGCCAACAAGGTTCTCCCGCAAGACCAATACACTGAATTAACGGCACTCAGATAACCATGTCCTTCTGGTTTCTCACGAAGCTTGTTGCAGTTCCTGGCACATCTGGGCTGATCTAGAGGAGCAGAGCTAAACCACATTAGAAACACACTCATCAACTCAGTCAGACTTTTTAGGCAGATTTTCAGCATGAACTACACTTAAAGGTGTCCCTTTTCAAGACTTTAGAAGAACAGTAGGCACTTAGCAGGCCAAAAAGCCCTATTTGCACTACAAATTCAACCATTTGAAGGGATTTAATTAATACAGAGAATGTCTAATTGACCTTGTGTTGGGAGCTTGACCTTTGCAGCTAATTGCCAGTAAAATCAGGGATAAGAAATATAATCTCTAAATCTTCATCTAAGATAAACATTCTCCTCTCCCAATGTGCCTGCTATTTAGATTAAAAGTTCCTCAGGCTTAGGAGTGTCTACACCACCTAAAGTAGAGAAATGTCCTTCCAAGCTAGGACACACTTCTGCAGGGCAAATAACAACAACTCACTGGGCACTGCGGCAGTTCATGAATGCATCTTTTAGTGGTGCACAGCACGACTGGACTGAGGGGTCACAAAACACAACCAAGTACAAGAGGCAGCTGAAGTAGAGTGGAGACCTAAGACTGTGAGTCAAAAAGCAGCAGCCTATGGCCTAAAAAACACACTGTCCAAGATTAACCTAGCATAAAGGTGTTTGTGATTAAATCTCATACCACTTAACTACTAAAAACACAATCTCCTTTAATTTCTCTTTTTCTGCACTCTGTGTACTGTCACACCTATTTACCCTAGCAGCTGGGTTTCCTTTTTAAGCCATAAACTGCTCACTAACTAATTCTAGGAACTGGAGCAGAGATGCTTCATTCCTTTTAATATCTTTTTTTTGTTTGTTTGATTCTTTTTTCAAATACAATCTTGGTCTATTCCTGCATGACACACAAGGGGGCCATTGGCTCAGTATACGTCCTTTCATTCTGCCTTTCATATGACCTACACTGAACATCATGAATCATTGTACATGATACATAACACATCTTGAATTAAGCAATAGATAGTAAATGACTAATCACCCTATCTCAATTAAACTAATAACAGCAATTTTTCTTGCACTGCATGTAATTTATTTATAATCACCCTATCTCAATTAAACTAATAGCAGCAATTTCTGTTGCACTGCATGGAACTCAGTGTGTTTTGACAAATGAAAATAAGTTGTTGTTTGCTTGGAGAGGAATAGAGGCGGAAAGTATTCTTGTATCTGGAAGAGCTGAAAAACCACTGAATAAATTGTTTTATCAGCTAAGCCAATGAACAAAACTTTCTGACCCAATCATTTAAACCACAAACTTTTTGAAACAGGGACCTTTTCTTTTGTTGTGTCTCAGCATACAAGAGTCATGTCAGATTTAACAACCACATAACAAGGTACTAAGCTCAATCATGTGTGTGTATAAAAGGATGAAAAAAACAGTTTTCCTATCTCTGGGCTATGATATGCTGCTTCTGAAGTTTTTGTTGCTAGTGATTCACAAAACTAATCTGAAGTCACCGCATCTGAGCCACCTGGGAAAACTAGATGTGTCCTTGTGGTTACTTTGTGCTCTGATGACTGCTATGACTTTTAAAAGTCTCCTGGTATTTGCTCAAATTGAAGCAACGTTTGGTCTGATTTACTTCATAACCAGGGATCGGGCTGATTCTAACCCTAGAAATACAGTACCCTTCTTGGGTATACCTTCCTATACCATGTCAGATTTAGTCTACTAGGTTTGTCCTAAAGCAGAGCAAATGTAAATGAGAGAAACATCTGTCCCAAAAACTAGAAACATGTTAAAAAATAAAGCTCTGTTTCTTACAGGATGATCGGCATCCAATTCTGCTCCATAGCTTAGGATCTGATTGGCAAACCTGTCCAGCTCCTGGATACTTCTTGGGAACCATGGCACTGCAAAATAGAAAAGAAATAGAGACTGATATGCTTCTTCGCTACTTGGTTTGGGGCCTTCTTCTTGTCTTTCCATTTTTTCATCATAAATATAAAGAAATTTAGCAAGTGGCTAAATTCTTTGAGGAACAACGGCCTTTCCCTGTAGTCGGAGGCAAGAACAAACCCCACAAGTTGTCTTGAATTTGTGGCTGTTTTGCACTGTTGGAAGAATACAGAACATCAGGAATGGCTAGAGCTTGGTACACAGCTAGCTTGTAATGTTTATAATTTTCTGTTTATTATTCTGGTCTCTTGGCTTACCAAAACGTAGGATTTTTTCCAGAGCATCCTTCCTTTCATGGTAGCTAGTATCAGCCATTTCAAAGGAACACAAAGAAACCCCACAACAAGAAAGATACAGGATTATTTGACCTTCTGAAAATCTCTTTCTAGGACCTACTTGGTGGCCTCCTCTTAAGCTAGGATGCTGAAATAAAATGATAAATGGCACCCTAATACCTCAGACTAACATTTTTTTACTGCAGCCATTATGCAATAATGCATTCATTTAATTAACATTCTGGGCCTAATTCTCTATTGGCTTGTAACTTACATACTATATAAAGTGCCTACGGCACAGCCAGGGTATGAAATGAACCACCTTGACTATGCAGCATGTAATACTCGTGTGGCCCTCCCTTTTCAGAGGGACATGAGGTGAACGACAAGGAAGAATCACAGGGCTTTCTAGATGCTATGTGTTCAGATAGAGGAAAGCAGAAGGCAAGTATCTTCATGGCAATTGCACTACAAGGAGAGACTCTTCGCAGCTCGTGAGGTACATGGAGAAGTCATCCTAGGTCAGACCTCCTTCCTGGAGCCACAAGTGTATTCACTCAGTGGTCCAGGAAGTACCCTGTCACATGTCCCCTTAACAGCAAGAGGACTAGCATACATGTGCAATGGCTGTACCAGGCTGCAGCCCCCTCTTCTATCTCCTTCAGGAGGATCCAGTTGCATACTAAGCCAGAGAACCCCTTGTCAGCCACCACTGGACCTGGCCACCCCAGCCCTCTGCAACACTGAGACAGGGAAACTCAATGGAGGGAGCGCATGGACCATGAGCCGTTTCCCCTCCCTTGCCCAATCATCGCTTTGGGAAGTGCATTAGTAGGTACCTCCACTAGGTACCACAGGAAGCTGGGCACATCTTGGGAGCTGTCAGTGCTGTTGCGTTCAGCTTGCTCGTTTTCCCTTCTGCTGCACCATTCTTACATTTTTGGCCCTTTGACCCTAGCTGCCTTTTTCCCTTCCCTTCCCTTCTGCCTGAGTCAGAGGCTCTAGCCATGCCTGAATTTAATAGCCCATGATGAACTTCCCACAAACACAACTAATTGCTCTTCAAGCCCAGGTACACATCTGTCTCCAAGAAACTCTGCAGCACCGAGCTCTATAATTTCTTTACACGTGATATGAAAAATTAGTCCCTTTTGTTTTAAACTTGATTATGTCATTTGATGTTAATTAGTTCCCGTATACAGCTATCATTTGTTGTTATTCACCTTCTCCAGGCCACCTAGGATTTTATAGCTCCCTGTCAGATCCTCCATTTACCATCCATCTTCCTGGCTGAGACTTTGCCTATGTATTTCAAGAACAGAAACCATAGGCTATCTTTGAGCACTCTCATCACTTCTCTCTGCACCATTTTCAGTTCTACCATCCTTTTTCTGAGGAAAGGACACCTCCATCTGAGGATGTACCCCATGCTCAGACCATGCAATCATGTCCCATATGCTCCCCACGCTGAGTACAAGTCAGCAAGATGAAATTCAAGGCTAATATCACCCACAGGTCTGCTGGTCCAAGCCCAGGGGCTCTCAGCAGTCTCTCTATCAATAAAATGTCTGCAGCTCATTTACTGACTTTCTTGCGTGAATGGGTGTCATTTGCTCAGTCAGTGCTTGGAAAACAGCTCATTCCCCTGTGTGGCTCTCTGCTCAGCTGGGAGCTCTGCCGCTCAGCCATACCTCCCCATCTGATGTGGGGTTTGTGTCAAGTGAACCTGATCTCCAGCTGACAGCTGCTGCGTGAGCTGCCTGCAGTGCCTTGCTGATGGGGCTCATCCCAAACCTGATGGACCACCTACCGGATAAGAGGATCACTCTGTCTCCAGGACTATTCAGCCTTGCTTTCTGCTGAGCCTAACAACACAGAGGGCACTTGTGGCGCTGGGTTTCTGAGAAGCACCTGCACAGAGGGGCCAGAGCAACAACAGCAGATTTACAGGGCACAATTTGGGCGGCCGCAGCTCAGCCCCACACAGAGTGCTCGCTCCCCCTGACCTACTGTCCCACCACCAGCCTGGCTCCATCCAACGCTCCCACTGGGAGCCCTCAGATTTGTTTCAGGCAGGCCGGGGACAGCAGGTAGCTGGTGGCTGCCAGCCGGGGGACGTCGCGGGCTTCCCCGGGCTCCCCGAGCTGCAGAGACCCGGCCCGGTGACAGCTCCCGCCTGTGTCTCCCGTTCTCCCGCCCAACAGAAGTGGGTTTTGCCCCCTGCCTTTCCGAGCTGCACACCCTTCTGCTTGGCCCTAAAACCCAGACCTGAACAAGTCACTAGATGGCAGCAGCAGCCCCAGGAAGATCTTCCCAAAATTTCTTTTATTTGCTGGGCGTAGCGCTAGCTCTCTAGTTTCTCCAGAAACACTCTCTCACCTTACTGTTAGCAACCTTCCTGCACCTCCAACCCCTTCAGTTAAACTAGTCAGAGGCGATGAGTAGAAAAAGGTGTGTTTGAGTCCTAGAGAGGAGTCACCACTCACACCATGTGAAGAGTGATCACATCCAGCCAGCCTGCCCCTGTTTTCTATACAGGCAGCAGGGCACCAGGCTTATCTCCTGGCTTTGCCACTGAGCTTTGTGTGATGGTGGGGGAACCGCTTCAATCTTTTGTACTTCAGACTGCCCACTATCAGCTTGTCATGGAGCACACTGATAGATATTTTTGAATTAGACACTGGGAAAAAAGCTGTCCGGCAGCCCCACAGCAAAGGATTTGTCAGGGTTAAGAGTGAATAACCACTATTCTCAGGGATGTGCCATGGCCTGAAGGGCCCAGGCTGTGCAGGAAAATTGCTGGGAGCTGAAGTCTGCGGTGGATTTCAGCAGTGATATCTGTAGGGTTTTGCTGTCCTGAATCAGAATGGTCTAGGTGGGCAGGTTTCAAACTATTGCAACTTCAAGAAAGGATAAAAGGGATATGTAATAGTGACTTTCATAACATACATTTTATTCTCAAGATCCCCAAAGTACCTGGTGCAGAGGTCATGATAAACTCTGGGACAGACTGACTCCTGGGCTGATAAGGTGACAGACCTGGGCATGGAGATAGGTGGTTTGTTTTTCTCCTACACAGGAACAGCACCTTATCTTCTAGGCATGCAGGCCCTATAGGTATCTGCCTTATTTTCAGCAGATCTCTGCCCTCCTCCCAGGTGCCTTCAGACAGCTGTAGCTAAGAGAGAGCAGCTCTGAGCTCACAGGCTGTGCAAGGGAAATTCTGAGGATGCTTAGTGCTATTTGCACTAGCATAGCTGATGTTAAGTTGGGTCCTGGAAAGTCCTGAGCCTTCTCAGCTCTCATGGAAACAAGAATCAAAAGTCCTGAGCACAGCCACAGGATAGACACTGCACCAAGTCCTGACAGCCCTCGCATCAGGGACCAGGGTGCAAAAGTGCTACTGGGTTTTCTGCCTAGCTGTGGTGTGCCAGGACGTTGCCCCCAGCCCTCCCAGCAACTATTTAAAAGACCAAATCAAATTACCCCCTGGCTGAATCTATCCCATATTTTGTTTGCGACATCCTCCTCCAGCCCGTTTGCCAGACTCGCTGTCTGTCTGCACAGCCATTAATGAATTGCCAGGGCAAGCTGTCGCAACACTGGGCCTCTGTGAAGGTCTGAGGAGCAAACGTGGGCTGATCAGTAATAAATATTGATTTGTCTGTAAGTGAAACAGCAGCATTTATGGGATTGTGCTGGACACCCAAGTGGTGACCAAATTACCATGGGGTCAAATCCTTAGCAGAATGCTAATAAGCCATTTATATGAGAGGCAGCAAAGCAGGGGCAGAGAGGACTTCTGCAGAACTCCTCCATTCGGACCATTATGAGGAGGGTCAAAGACAGGTCTATGCAATTTATAGCAGTTCAAGGCCCAGGTTTAGCCCTTTTCTGAACAGTCCCAAATGCTTTGGCCAGCCTCAGGGTTTAGCAAACAAGGCCCCTACAGAACCACAGCTCCCAGCCTGTCTCAGAAATGCAATAAATTGTCTGGATTTCCCTAATGCTGCAAGAGAATAATATTTAATTCTTTTTATTCATAGGCTCCAAGTGGACTGCAGATACTCAGCTTGTTTCCAAAAAGAGCCATGAAGAAATGCACTGTATTTTCACAATGAATCTTTCCATCTCTACAAAGGGCTTTTGGTCCATCTCATCTGAAGCTCTAAACTACCTTTGGATTTAGAGCATTTTGCTGGGCTGCTCTCAGCTAAGATTACACTGTTGATCCAAATCTGGTATTTGTAACTATTTGAGTGTGTCAAATGGAAACCAAAACACTACATTTTGTGTTTAGTTGAGAAAGGACCCTAAAAGCAGTTAAAGCAACAAGACTAAAAAAAAAAAAAAAAAAAAAGGCCATTAATTTATCCCTTGCCCAATAAAGCACGTACACATGTGTTTAACACTGAACTATATAGAACAGACAGAATACAGAAAATTTCCTCTGACTTCATGAAGCAGTGCCCCAAGAATGGCACTGTATGCTTCCTACAGGAAATTGAGCAAAATAACATGTTTTTTTCTCTCTCAGATCATGAACACGAGCAAAATGAATCCTTAGCGAGGAAGGGCTGAGAGCACATCTAGGCAGCAGGGAAAGAATCAGTCCCATGGGAGCCTGGACTGCCTCCAGGAGAAAACCTTCCTAGCCTTTACCTGCCCACTGAGAAGAGTGTGACAATATCCCCATAAGCCATATTTCCGAGATTTTGCTCCCCGGAAGCATATTGCTCTCGTTCTGTGTTTTAGGAATAAAATTTCACATAAGCATGTCTGTGGCCTGTGACTGGATTTGCCAGGAGGATACGTTTGAAAGGCGAGCTGACCTACAAGGCACCACAAGGCCTGTTATTTGTTAATGCCATCACTGATAAAGGGTAGCATCTTACCATACTTCCTACAGCTCAGGCTGCTCCCATCTCCTCTGCCCTTGTAGCTGCTTCAGCCCAGAATTTGCCACCCACAGTTCATCCCCTAAGCAGGGCATGTTTGACCTTTCAAAATATGGCTCTTTGGGGATTTCAGCTTGACTGGACTCTTAGTACTCATGAGAGAAGTTGAAATTGAAAAAAAAAAAAAAATCAAAAGAAAAGAAAAAGAGAATGAGCTAAAAGAAATACCAATTCTCCTCTCTTTCCTTGGCAATAAATTGCTCCCACTTCATACTATTTCTGAATTACTGAAACTAACAAACAAACACAAGTTATCCTCTCAGACAGAAGGGGATCAAGTCCCTTTCTGCAGGACTGACAGGATAATCTAGCTCAAAAAACCTTTGATCAACACAGTAACATGCAGTGAAATCCTAATCCTACAGCTGACCACAGGAGTTTTGACTTCTGTGAGGTCAGAGTTTCACTCAGAAGTCTTTCTTGGCTGATATTTAGAGCTGTATCTCTATCCGACTCTGGCCTATGCTTCTACATTACTTTATTTTTTAATAAAGTTAATAATAAACTTCTTAATAATAATGAGAAAAACAAAAGTAATAGCAAGCCCTGTTAGGCCCTGTAGCTTTCTTCTGGAAATAAAAAAGCCCCCAAAAGAGAACCTCTTTGATTTGACATGATCATGAATCACCTAATCAAGCTTTTGTCCCTTCGTCTCATGAATGGAGAGAACTGACTCCAAAGAGTATCTGCCTTCTTCTTTTTCATCTTCAAATGTAATGTCATGGGTAAAACACAAAGGAAATGGTAAAAGGATTACCAGCACTGATCTCAAGAAGGTATTAATGTCCTTTCATGTTGTTCCTAGGAAGGAAGAGGAAGACCCAGACCTAAAGTATTTAAAGTCTGAAATCCTATTAAAATCACATCTGTTATCTAAGGAGGCATTTAAGTATGTCTCAGACTGGATGCTGGGTAGCCACCACTGTACTGAGCAGCCTCAACTCCAGCAAATCTCTGAGAGTTAGGAGCATGGACAACTCACAAAAACTTTCCTTACTTCTCTTCAAAGGCAGAATCAGAATCATAGACCCACAGAATCATAAAATAGTTTGGATTGGAAGGGACTTTTAAAGGTCATTTAGTCCAACTCCCCCTGCCACGGGCAGGGACATCATTAGCTAGATCAGGCTGCTCAGACCCCCATCCAACCTGATCTTGAATGTTTCCAGGGATGGGACTTCTAACACATTTCTGGGCAGCCTGTTCCAGTGTTCCACCACCCTCACTCTAAAAAATTTCTTCCTTCTATCTAGTCTAAATCTGCCCTCTTAGTTTAAAGCCGTTACTCCTTGTCCTATCGCAACAGTCCCTGCTTAAAGGACTGTCCCCACCTTCCCTACAGGCCCCCTTTAAGCACTGGAAGGCCACTATAAGGTCTCCCTGGAGCCTTCTCTTCTCCAGGTTGAACAACCCCAACTCTCTCAGCCAGTCCTCATAGGGGAGGTACTCCAGCACTCCAGCCCTCTGATCATTTCTGTGGCCCTCATCTGGACTTGCTCCAACAGGTCCACGACTTTCTTGTACTGAGGACTCCAGAGCTGGAGGGAAATGTAGCCATACAGCTTCAAGAGGAACTACTTTGCTACAGGATAAAGCCACTTGAGTATGTGACATCAATATTCCTTTTCAATATTATCCTTGCCAGTGTATCCTTACCAGTGTCCTTCTTCTTTGTTCGTGAAAGCTCATGGACTGTTGCTCCGATATCATTTCTCAAGGACTTGATGATCTTGTCCAACGCTGGGACATTCTTGCCTTCCAAGTTAATGAAGAATTCATACTCATCTTTGTTGAGACGGGAAGGTCGGGACTCAATGTGGGTCAGGTTTATACCTTTTTCCTATGAAAAAGAAAGATTTTGGTCCCACAAGGTTTTGGGGAAGAAATATGACATAAAGACTAGCTAAAATTCATGTGTCAGTTAGCAACGCACACTATACAATCCAAATAACTCAAAAGTAGAGACTTGCCTCTGGTGGCCACCAGACTGAGGATTTTCACAACAGAGAAAGGAAGGAAGAATGAGAGGGATGCAGGTTTCACCCTTGAGCAGAGCACCAACCTAAAGACTGTGCACTACATAAACCGTTGAAAAAGGTGGAAGCAGGATACAAGTTGTAAAGAGGCTTTGCATTGTAAATAGTGACTCCAGTACTGCAAGTACATAATGAGAGGTTGTCTGTGTGGACAAGAACTTTTCCCCAGGATCACAGAGGACATAGGCGTTCCACCTGTAAAGAACCCTCTCATGAGAAAGTGAATGCTGTATTTCTGAGCATCTTGAAAGGAGGCTGGAAAAGCAAGCAGCTGGGTAACCTGTAAGATAAGCTCCTGACAAGCCACTGCACAGTCACCTGCAAAGCCACCTGCACAGTTTCCAGGGCTGTGAGCAGGTGCTGGGCAGAGATCCAATGGGAAATGTGGATCTGCACTAAAAAGGCCGCCCAGGTTTGTGCAAAAAAAACCACGGATGTTTTAAATCACAGAATCACAAAATCACAGAATTGCAGAGTTGATGATTTTGGATGGGGCCTCTGGAGATCATCTAGTTCAACGGTCTGCTCAAGGCAGAGTCTGCTAGAGCAGGTTGCTCAGTACTGTGTCCAGTCAAGTTATGAGTATGTGCACAGATGGAGACTCCACAACCGCTCCTGGCAACTACTCCAGAGTCTGATCACTCCCACAGCAAAGAAATTTTTTCATTAGCACGGGAACTCAAAATCCGTCTCACCAAATACCTTCACTGACCAACAGCACTGCCTCGTAGCTCTGAAGAAATGGATCGCTGGCAACTACAGTCTTGATGCCAATGGCCAGTGGGTACCTAACCTCAGACATGCCACTGTGTCAGTGTGTAAAGCAACATGTAGCTAAAAATCCTATTTTTCTAGTCATTTAAACACAAGTCCAGGAAAATCTACCTCAGTTTAGCAGAACTCAAATGTTTTCCTCAGCACTGTAGTTTGAATATGAAAATATTACTTTTTTTTTTTTTTTCCCAAGAAAAACATTTTAAACGTATTTCAGTTGGTGTTGATTTTACCACCTGATCTTCCTGCCTGGCTCACACTGGAGCCATGGCCACGGCACACTGAGGCCAGGTTTGGGCTTCTGTTCCCTGAGAGGAATAGAAAAATTCCTGCAGGATATTTGGGCCTGAAGATGACCCGCAGAAGAGTCAGAGGAGCTGACACATGGTGCTCAGCAGCCCTGGAGAAGCTTTTGTTTTGCTGCTTTCAGGCTTAAGAAGATCCCAAACTACAAGGGGTGAAATGACGGCCCCGCTGGTGTCAGTGTCAAACCCCCTGATGCAGTGGGGTCAGGATCTCATCCATGAAGAAACGCTGCGAGGATCTATTTGTGACCTACAGGGAAGAAAGAGGGAAGCTTTTTTTCACTACCTCCCTCTAATTTGAGCTTCTCAAGCCCTTTAAGGTTTTCTTTGCTCCTCTCAGCGCTTGCACAGCACAGGGGGGCATCTGGCCATCAACGGCAAAGCCCTCATTCACTCCACCACAAAAGGCAGTTTATTACTTGGTAGGAAACAGCATGCATGTCATTCCTCTGTTTCCTGAGTGTTGCACGCTACAGATGAACTTAAATTGTTTGGCTAGATACCAATACAATAAGTTGAAAAAGGCAAAAGCGCATTCGCCAAATGCTGCTCTTGAGCCTCGTGGGGCCGTCTCGGGGAGAGAATGGCCACCACTGCCCTGGGCCCCAAGGACAATTTGTTTTAGGCCTCCAAGGCCCTGTTTCACAAACAGACCGAGCATTGTACCCTCCGCTTGGTGAGGCGCTGGGAGGTGGGACAGCCGGAGCTGGACGTTCAGATGACGCGAGGCTGGAGAGCTTTTGACAGAGAGCAGGCACAGGAGGCTGCCGGCCCCTTTGCCGTGGCTGTGCCATGGAGAGCAGTGAGGCAATGTGGGGCTGGCACCCAGATCCTGGGGCCGTTCAGCTGCTCTGCCCACTCACAAAGGTGGAGAGTGGGTGTAAAACTTCCCCCTGTCAAAGACTCGATTCAGGCACACTGAAGTGCTGCTTTACTTTTACCTTGCACTGATGCGTCAGGGTGTTGTATTCTGCCTCCTGCAAATTCACAGGGGAATGGTGTCCTGGGCCCTAACTGGGCTTTCTGCAGCTTGCAGAGGCTGTGATAACATGGACCTCTCTTCTTTGGCTGTTACCCCCTGCTTCCCTCCCTCGCCCATGAGTGTTCACCCCTGCCTCAGCATCCCTCCCCTGGAGATAGAAGAGCTGTTTGAGAGGTCACACAGGGATCTCAACTGTATCTTTTTTTTTTTTTTTTGCCAGGTGACTTTTCCTCTGCACCAACTCTCCAACCTGGCTCAGCAAGCAGCTGCTCAAAACAGTGCCCACAAAATGGAGGGAATGATGCAGAGGTTGGGAATGAAAAGTCAAGCTGCAGGGTGGGCATAAAGCATGGTTAAGGCAGCAGGAGCATCAATGCCTCCCAAAGTATTGCCACAACCTAAGAGAGCAGGAAAAAGGGGAAAAAAAAAAAAAAAAAAAAAAAAAACCAAACCTGAGAGGAAGGAGCTCATGGAAAGACTCACCTCCTTTCTTATACCTGAGGTAAGCAGAGCAGCTTCCTGCAGAGTATGAAGCTGATTTGCTGTTTCTTTGAGGGGTGCCTGCAGCTCAGCAATGTGCAGAGCCAACCCGTAACCTCTTTGTGCTGAGGCTTCACGACCTCACAGCAGAGAAGCTGAAGGGAGAACCCTTCTGGTGACTGTTTTCAAAGCAAGAACTCAGCAGTATACATCCAAATCCCTGAACCTGCACTCCTGGAGAAACATGTTCTCATATGCTGTGCCTTGCTACTAAGCCCCTGATTTCAAAATATTTACAATGGCTCTGTTACTAGAGCTGCTTTACAAATCTCAATTTCATTCTTGTCCAACTACTCCATCTAGTGTTTAATCTTCATAGTTTCACATTGTTCAAAAATTTTTTGCATCCTCAGTATTACCAGATATTGCAATTGCATCAGGTTTCTCACAGTAGTTGATGCTTTATTTAAAGCTTCAACTTCTGGAGACAAGCGGTTACCTGAAAAAGGAGAATGGGGACAATTTTGGTTTAGTTTTTGTTTTGATATTTGTTTTGTTATCAGTCTCTCTGTGTTTTTAGTAGAGCTTGAAGTCTTGACGATATATGCCCTCAAAAGACAGCTAATAAGAACTCTGCATGTATTTTATGGGACTTCATGATTTCTGATCTGGTTTTCTACTTATGGTACCTAACTCCTGACCTAACTGGTTTTGGAAGATCTGGGCTGTCACATGTTTGAGGCTGGATTCACACCTGAACTATTAATATTGGTCTCTTCTCCTTTTTCTATTTTAGAGCTGATAGGAATCTGATGAGCCCATGGCCTGAGACTAGATGAGCCTTTCCTGAATTTGCCCCATCATTTGTTGCAGCTGCAAAGAACTTGCAGCAGGTTGGTGCTTCCCTGCTTTTCCTCAGTTTTATGACCAACATAGAGGTTGAGTCTCTCCTACATGGACACATCATACCATACAACCACATACCCGATGGACTACTTCTGTGTTGGTGGAGGAGAGGTAGCTGTTCATCTCGAGTTTCAAAGCAGTGTACTAGGCCATTTCTAATATACTTTTTAGCAAGTATTATCAATTTAGAACAGCTTTTGCCTTGAGACTGAAGGTAGCATTAGGTGTAACACCTAATGGAGGTCACAGGGCTATGGTATTGCCAGATCTCTTGAAGTCGGCAGAAGTCACTCCAAATTTCTTGCTTTTTTTTTCTTAAAAGCTCCACTCCTGGGAGTGAAATGTCTCAGCTTTCTTTATTTGAATATTCAAGTTAACTGTGTCTATCAGTCCTCACTAGAGAAAGAAGTCTCAAGATGTTCTGAGAGCTCAAAAATCAAGTTAGAACTAAGTCCATTTTGTGTAAGTCATGATATTTGAATGACAGGGGTTAGAAATACAGGTGTCAGTTAACAACAGAGGCAGTTGTGCACACAGGAGGAGACTGCCCATCTCCCTGCCTCGCTTACCCCACCACGCTGGATCTCAGCCTTGGCTGCCCCTCAGAGGCCGTGAAGCAGCTCCAGCCCCTTCCCCAGGTTATTCCAGTTAGGCCATCCCAACCGAGTATCTCCCATGCTGCAGCTGCCCCGTGCTGGCAGGATCAAACCATCATGTTACACTATTTCAGCAGACTTGCAGAGGTCACTGCCAAGGGAATTTAGTCCCATCCTCAGAGAGTTTAATGGCCTGATCACTGGAAAAGAAAAGCTGTGTTTTTGTAGCTACATGAGGAAGTTTTCAGTGGGGATGGACACTTTCTGGGAATGTTATGGGCTACTGCTTCCCATGGCGTTCATATGCCCTTCTGTTCACACATTACTGAATGCTCCTGCATATGATTGGTAAAACTAAGTACAGCTGTGAAATCCATCTGCAACTTGTTTCATGACTGTTGTCATTAAATAAGTTTGGCTTCATCAGGAGACCCCACATTGTTCCCAGATGAAGAACTGTCAACAGTGCTATGGTGCCACTAATCAACATTCAGCAAGAACTTGGGTGAAATCTCCAAAACAAGGATTTACTTGCACTTTCCTATTACAAAAAAAAAAAAAAAAAAAAAAAAAAAAAAAAAAAAAAAAAAAAAAAAAAAAAAAAAAAAAAAAAAAAAAAAAAAAAGGACATGTTCTTTTAACCCTTGTCACAGGCTAGTTCAGGCCTTTCTGAAGGAGCACACTTTCAGAAGCACAATTAGAAACTCAATGCCTAATTTTCACGGGAGATCAGGGGAGTTAGGAAGTTATAGTGATGTCTT